GTGTGATATGAATGTCAATGTTTGTAGCTCTAACGCACTTGCCCACTGTTTTGCGTAGGTTTGTAGAGCACATGGTGTGTTGAATAATAGTCGCTAGCAGAATTTACCATAAACATACTGTTCGCTTAATAGTAAAACTCATTCTAGTATATTTTTAAATCGGAACACATATCATATTTTGCGATTGTAATGAATTGTTTTGAACAAATACTGATTTATGAAATTTGTCGGTAGTTTTACAATAGTAGAAATACCCGACATGCTTCTTTGTGCAATCTGTGGTTTAAGACATTTATTTACGCAAGAAATAAATTGTCACTTAAGCGTAAACACAATAATATACAGTACATAATATTTAGCATCATATTTGAATTGCGAGAATTTAAAAACTGTTAACTCTATCGTTCTATCTATTGTAAAATATGTATTTTTCGCTTACTTAATTCTGTACGATCTGATCTCAAGTACTCTCTTTGTAATAAGTAAATGTCATATTAACTGACAGACCCAACAAATGCACTGACGCGCGCAGGTCCACAGATAATGAAACCATTTAAAAATTTAGCACACACGTTCTTTGCGCCGGTCGTAAGTTACAGGAATGCAGTCGAGCTAGCTCCAGACGACGCACACATGCTCAGTGTTATGGGCTCATGTATGTGTGTGTTCGGGACGGTTTCTTGTTTATGTAAATAGGGCACATACTGTCTATGTAGAGGTAGGGACAGCCGATGTAGTTATGGTGTTACTATTGTTTCTCGACATTATGAACTTTCTTTTAAAGTGATACCTTAAATTTAGCTTTCAAAGATATAAGATATTTTGTGATTTAAAATTACAATCCATAAAAAAAATGTGTTTAGAAAGCATGGCTTTCGGAGCGCTGATTTCTAACCTTAAAGCAATAATATTAGTAATTTAAACTACTACGATATTTACAGAATATTCTTAAAATAAACTCCTTGTGCTGAAAAAAAATATAACCCCAAAAACGAAATGTTTAATTATGACCTGGCTTCTAACACTCATCGCACAAAAATACTCAATAGAGCTACCGTGTCATATCGAAATTTGTAGAATATTATTCTTATTTTTTACCTTAAATTACAAATCATTTTGATAAGTTCTCATGTGCACTAGCACGTAAAATTATCAATATGTATATACAGTGGTGTTACTTGCTGATATCTTAATACAATCCCAATAAAAATCAGAACTAAACCATATCTGTAATGGTAAACTTTAATTATAATGTGGTTATTAAATCACATTATAATTTATAATACAATTAATATTGTATGCTACAAGTATTTTGAACATACTACACGCGTTCGACAATCCTTCGAGTCAATAATGAAAAAAAAACTCGTGGTAATGCAAAAACTTTTACCCACAATTGCAAACAATATGAATGCGATCCTCTTTGTTCTTTACTAAGAAATATTTTATTACATTACTGGAACTTCTTGTTATATTAATTCGTAAGCGCTAATCTAATCTAGATCAACAAATTATCACCTATGACAATCCATCTATTTTGGGACTATGAGAAATATATATACGTTTCTAAGAATGTAATTGAATGTTTTTTAACTCAACAATGACTCATCAAGTGTTTAAATTACGAAATCTTAAAGCTTTTGCATATATATTTTTTATAAAATAATGATTTAATTGCGGCGTTGTAACTCTGAACTTATTGTATGAATTTGATATCAGGTCATAGTAACCTATTTTGTTTACTTCACGAAGTAAATAAAAGAAATAAATTTATTGAATTAACAACGGTATGTATTAAATACCCCTATTAAGAAGTTTCTCTGGCATTATACACCACTAGACTTGTGTTACCACCATTAGGCATGGAAGGACATATTTTTGTGGCTTATTAAATGCTGTATGTACTTATTGTATTTGTATTAAATGCTAGGGCTGGGAACCTTACCAGTATGTACGCAGAAGTATTTGCAATTAATAGAGTTTAAGGCCTCATCTCAAAAAACTTCCCCTACAAAGAGGAGCAAAAGAATAACCACCCGGCCAAAAGCTTACCTTTGTAGACCATATTATAATGAATAAACTATGGAACGAGCTCGGTAAATGCGATAAGCAACAAATGTAATTACGAAGAATTCAGGTCAAAATTTTTCTCGCTCGCTTATGGATAAATATCGAGGTTATCAGTTAACGCAGTATTGATACTAAATCTTATCAAATAAGGCAATGTTTCGTACGGATAAGGCATCATCTTGACAAAAAATATTGAAGTAACGGCCATTTTGAATTACAAAATGGCGCACATGTATTTGGACATGTTTAGTTTTGTAGGCATTATTAAACAGTGTTTGAAACCAGCTTAGTAGAATTTTGTGTAGCATTTGGCAGTTGTGCGTTAGCGGATATCAGTGGCGACAAATATTTTTTAAACGATGGATGTATTTCAGGGTTTTTATTGCTTATTAATAAAGTAATAATGATTAAATATTCGTTTTCGCTACTGTTCGTTATGTTTTTATTGGACAGATACCTGAAGACACGCCTATTGTTATTAAATCTATACTAATATTATGAAGCTGTTTGTTTGAACGCGCTTATCTCAGGAACTACTGGTTCGAACTAAAAAATAAATTTTGCTTAGATTAGAGTATTTATCGAGAACGGCTTAAGGCTAAGAAACAGTGGGAAATGTAGACAAAACGAAGGGGGTTCCCGATGCGTACGCTGCGAAAACGGTTAACGATGCCAAAAATATATATTTAAAAAAATTCTCATTAAATAATTTTAAAAGAATGTCCGGAACAACATGTGTATATCTCTTAATATTAGCTTGCAAGAACGACGGCATGCCACCGACGACACCGACGACAGCTATAGTTTAAAAGATCTTCCCTTCTACGCGAACGCAGTCGTTGACATAACTAGTGAATAATAAGAGAATTATAACAGTTAAAACCTGCTTTCATGAACTTCTCTATAAGTCAAATAGAGTACCATATTAGTTTTTAAATATATATTTTTAGCATCGTAAGACGTTCAAACTTCATGTGTAGTAACATTTATATTTATTATACAACAACAGTAATATTAAACAATACGTAAAAATATTTTTACGTAAAAAGTGGATTCTATAAGATTTATAACTCTTATCTGGGCCAAACAATAAATGATATCCCGTATCTAATACCCTTAAACCGACGTCAATAAATATAACACCACAGTTTAACTATATCAAAGCTTAATATACCGAAATGTCGTTATTAGGAGATAACTAATTATCTAATTGATTATAATTAAAGAAGTGCCGACATACTCCTGTATTTTGTTGCAGTTAACAATACCTAATCAATTTTGCGTAATTTGTTTCTAAGTTAAAACTAAGCAGTATAAAAATATAAAACTCATTGGAGTCGAATAGAATAAAAATACGTTTATTAAGAAAACAATACAGTTTAATATAAATTAAAAATTTAAAAATAGATTTAAAATTGAACAGTGTGACAGAAGAATGCGTGTGTCTCTTGTAGTAGATACAGAAAAATATTCCGAACAAGAAGTCTACTGAATGACTGAGGTTTTTAGTCACAGTTGTGTTCGTAACTTTATTATTGTTTGAATTTTGATCACATTTTAGAATAGAGTATCTAGTGTCTTATTTAGATTGATATTTTTTTCTTTCTTGGTAATTATGTTAGCCTTACGTTCAAGCTATGTTTTTTTAAAAACTAATGGGGTAGGACAATTGTTGTGAGAAGTCTACGGGAACCACTATTTGGATTTGGCAAGAATCATTACTACCAGGGGCACGAGTCGAGCAGATCCCCTGAACACACCACTTCAGGTGCATTACAGGAACCTCGGCAAAACTAACAGGAATATATGTGAAGGAACAGGATTATACTTTTGTAAACTTTAAAATAAAATTATTTTGATGGTTTAAAACGTGAAATATGTGACATCGTTAACTTGATTATTGTAACTACGGTCCAACGTTTCAGATGCAATGTAGCAGCCGTGGTACCAGGAGACCGTACATTTTGTTATAAATTGAAGATCTATTTAGATTGAATAAATTTAACGATACAGGCCGGACTTGTAGCGGCGTCCACAGCAGTCGGTGCTGCTCTAATTTTCGCTTAATTAAGATCAGTCAATTTCTTTGTATTATGCGTCATCACTAAACGCATTATTCTCCTTGCAGGATTCCTTAAAACTATCAAATTGTCTAATCAAGTTGAGGTTTATCACACTTCGTCATATCTTATCAGTGCCGATAGGACATTTTCTGACATATACCAAAGTGTAACGCACGTCTTTATTGTTATTTAGTGTTAGAACTAAGATTTTAACGTAAGTAGCTTTATGAGAAGGCAATAGCTGAAGCAGCCAATCAAAACACGTCTTTTAATACCAAGGAAAGCAAACTGTTGCGCTACAGCTTGTTGAAATGCCGAAAAGCTGATTATATTCTGAATCTTTGTCTGCTTTCTTCTCTTTTTTTTTTGGGTGGCTGTGTGTGGGTTGTGTAGAAAGGATAACATCGTTTACATATTCATTACATATTATCAATTTATATTTTTTCCACAATTATTGTTAGGCTTTGCCTGGAAATGTGGATACAAATTAATGGAAGGAATATCAAAGTTCCGTCCTGGTTACCGTCCACTAATCCAAAAGCCGTGAAGCTGGCTGGTGTTCCACTTATTAAAGTGTCCTCCTCTATCGTAAAAAAATATTATTACAGCTTGATTTCATTGAAATCGTGCTTATTTTGACGTTTGTTTAGCTGAAATATATCACGTAACTTGATGTTCTGTCAAGTATTTTCTATGGCATAAAACTAATAAGCCATCTATCCTATTGACACCAATATTTCTTAGTAATCATAAGGCGACCGTAATAAAACAGTTAATAATATTATCTTTTTTCATAACAATATTTTTTACAGACTCCGAGAAAATTAAATGTTGATGATAAGAAGGTGATAAAAAAACTTCGTCAAGATGATGATGTTATCGCACTTACGGGCTTTGACGCCGCGAATGCGGTTCAATTACACAAAGCCAATAATAGATAATACGGCTTTCAAACTGCACTACAAGGTGACTGTGGTGCTACTCCTCGCTTTTATGCTCCTCGTCTGCGGTAGGGAGTATTTCGGAGAGCACATCAAATGTCTGTCAGATCAGGGGGTTCCCCCACACGTTATCCAGACTTATTGCTTCTTTATGGCTACTTTTACAATAGTGAGTATACATTTTCATCTGCATTGCCTTTAATACTTACTTATTATAATATTTTGCCAAATGCCTGCGATATATTTGATGTTATTTTTGCATCTGCGCTGGTCAGGATGTAGACAACGGTAGTCAAATGTTTTTGGTGTTCGTCCTCACATTTTTAAGAATAAAAACTACGACAAAGAGGATAAAAGAACTTTGTGATATTTAGGTGCGGCATTACAATGAGAGTCTTCTAGAAGGTGGTTTCCTTCCGCATCCAGGTGTTGGACCCATCCTTGAATCGGATGAGACGATCCGTCACACTTACTACCAGTGGGTGCCATTCGTTCTCTTCATACAAGCTATTTGTTTTTACATTCCTCATTACATTTGGAAGAGGAAAGAAGGTTAGTATTGTTGCTTTTCCATACTTCCACATATCCACAGACAGACTGATAAAGACAATTATATCAGTCTATGGATCTTATTGTCGCAAACAAACGTAACGACATTTTGTATTTAATTTTAATTAAAAATTAGTACGAGTTATAGTGGTTCGTAAGAACTCGTAGTTCTGCCATATTAGTGATATTTTTTGGACAAGTCAAACAATTATTTTTTGTAGAATTTGCACAAAAATCTTTTATATTGTAGTTGCAAAAATTGAAAGATATTGAAATAAAAAAGAAAAACAATAAGAATTGACCGTACATTAAGTTCGTAAAAAATATAATTGATATCAAAAGATTATTGTTAGTACCATTTTCTAATCAGGTGGTAGAATAAGAGCCTTAGTAGAAGGTCTTCAGTATGCAAGCTTGGCTCTCAACGAAGAAGATATGAAAGCTGGAAACATCGCTGTTCCTTCTAGAAAAACAATTGAGAGTCGCGTGGAGCTAATCAAGAAGGATATCTTACTGAGGTAAATTAGTACTTTGAAAGTGGTTAAATATCCTAACCTCAAATGTTTAAATTTTTAAACAAAAATTGATTTTCCTTTTAGGTTAAGAATAACCAGAGCGTGGTCACACTGGCTTATCTCTATGGAAGTGTTGAACCTTCTCCACGTCATGTTCCAAGTTTGGATCATCAATAAGTTCCTCCACGGCAGCTTCATGAGTTTAGGTCTTAATGTTATGAGCTTCAGACACTGGGGTGATATCACCAATCCTTTAGAGACTGTCTTTCCTAAGGTATATATATATATATATATCTTTTAAGAGTGCCGTTGTTTGTTCATTAACGGGCTAGATTATAAACTGTCGACATATGGCAAATTGGGTATTGCTTACAATTTTCCTCATTAGTTAATTTATTTACAAATGATAAAATTATGAAAAAAACCGATTTATTTCTGTATAGATTACACAGTATAGTTGTTTGGCCTCGCATACAATAGAAAATCGGTATTACTCATTTATCTCAAACACTTACATACCGTAGATATGTACCTACGGTTTTAAATTTAGCTGAGATTTTACAACTTACAAATGTTTTATTTAGTAGCCCGTTTCTAGAAACAGTAAATACGATAATAGTATGACTTATATAAAACTGTTTAAAACAAGGTAACAAAATGTGTCTTCCACAAATATGGTCCAAGTGGTGCCATCCAGCAACACGATGCGCTATGCGTGATGGCTCTCAACATCATCCATGAGAAGATTTACGTCATACTGTGGTTCTGGTTGTTATTCCTCTTCATAACTTCTTTACTGGGTAAATATTATAATTAATACTAATAATAAATAAGTTCCTATCTATACTAATATTATAACGCTAAAGAGTTTATTTGTTTGAACGCGCTAATTTTAGGAATAGCCAGTTCGAGTTTGATGTTGGTTAGACCCTTTATCGAGAAAGCTTAAAATTTAATAAAACCTTTAACGGTTTAAAACGCGATATATTAGTTAAACTTATTTGAAAATGATTTTTAACTTCGGCCCGACGTTTCGGATGCTTTGCAGCACCGTGGTCACGGGGAACCGTCGAAGTAAAAATCATTTCAAAATAATTTTAACAATATATCGGTTTTAAACGTTAAAGTGTTTTTTTAAATGTGTACTACTCGCCAATATTTAAGGCTGTAAAACTTCATGCGCGACCAATATAGGAAAGAAATAGAGGGAAATTGTTCCTTAACGAATCTGAACAAAATGTCCCCGACAGATTCATTTAAGATTAACTAGCAAGATCTGTTTTCGTAGGGATCATCAGACTTCGTCGAAATACGTCAAATGGCAAAAGAACGTTTGCCATTTGAGCCATTAAATAAGTGAAATAGTTTGTTACAAGACACTAAATATTATATAAAAGAGTTATTTTTTAAATGGTGGCCAATTTTGGGAATTGATAAATTTGGCAATTGTTTGTAGCTGTCGTGTGGCGTTTTCTATCGTTCTTCATGTACCGTCGCTCTCTGAAGTTCAACGAGATGGTCTTCCGCCACGTATCTAAAAGCAAGTTTAATCCATACAACGTTATCAATGTTGTAAATGGCTGCGAGTTCGGGGATTGGCTCTTTTTGTATTACCTCGCGAAGAATATGAAGTCTGCTACGTTCCAGTAAGTAACATGTCATCTATTTAAGGATATAATTATTTTCTACTTAGCAGGAGGGTAGTCATAATTTTTGTATAACCAGGAAATCTCTTTTAAAACTATGTATAGTTTATGCATTAACAAGAATCGTAATTATTAATGCATAAATTTGAATCTAGTTATATTAAATTAAACAAATCTTAGTCTTTATTACGTGACGAACTTGCCTACGATGGGATTATAGTACGGCATTTTTAATATAAAGATGAAAATCTAATTATTACACACTTAAGAGGTTCAACCATAACTATTTTACGTCAAACACTAATGTAAAGGGTGTAAAACGCGAAATTTATTAGTTATTTTTAACTACGTCCCGACGTAACGTAGAACTTGCCATTGTCAATAGCTCCAACATGTCGTGGACTGACTTTCTTTAAAAGTAAAATCCCGTTTCCCCCTCGGTCGCATGGGGCGAACATATTTCTGTGTCCGTTTTACCGATCCCTTCTTTAACAGATAAGTAGTTGATCAAACTTCTGGGTCCCGTCCGAGACGATTTTTTAACTTGCTAAACGCAATGCTACGAAATAACGTTTTACCATTTGGTTCTCTGTAAGCAGAGGCTGGTACTTACTTTGTAACTAATTTAATTATTTTCCAGTGAACTCTTCCGAAGTGTGGCTGAAGAGCTAGAGAAACGAGACATGCCGTTCAACACGGAAGCAGATGGGAACGAGGAAAAGGGCTCCGAACCAATTTTATTAGGAAAAGTCGAATATGACGACGAAACATTACCACTAAAAGATAAACGATCGTAAAACTAGTCATTTAATTTCAAGTATTATTTGTAACTTGATTTAGATATAGTCAAGGATTGGTAGGAATACATTTTATATTTGTGTCCTCATGACGCAGTTTCCACTTATAGAAATGGACAATAATACTAGCATGTACTATTAATAATATTTTAATTACTATATCATTGTTACTATTATTATTATCATTAAGTAAATAATGATATTTTGAGAAACCGTACAGCTTGTTTACAAACACATGCACGTATTTGAAATTTAACATAACATTGTTTTGTAAATACTTAGATGCATTACCTTAGGAGCAAGAAGTGACTTGGAGTTATGGTAGCAATGTATGGCCAATAATCAACGGGTTGTGCGTCCCCCCCCCCCCCCGTCCAACATGTTTCTAATTTGTCAATGTATAATTATTCTTATACATGTTGGACTCTAATTATCCAGAACTGGATATTAAATGAGCAATAGAAATTCCGTCTGGGTCACGAACTACCGTCCACAAATGAATAAACACGTGAAGCTTAATCGCGTTTTAGTTTCAGTCTGTGGATTTCTCCTCTAGTAAGAAAAAGAAGTCTGAGAGACCTGTATCCCACGCCCACGCCCAACATATGGGACACAAGAGTCGCTTAGTAGAAGACGCATAGGGCTTTAAATTTTACGTATATTTTTACGTTAGTCTTTTGTTATAAGATGCAATATTATGTAAAGTAAGTTATGCCATTGCGAACAGTACCTACTTGTAAGTTTATTCTGTAGTCTAGCTGTAAATAATAAAGCGACAAAGTTTTATAATATTATTTATAACTGAATGAAACGATACGAATTAGAAATAAAATGCTCAATTGTATTGGAATTAAGATGTTTTTAAAGGTTAGAGTGTACTATTTTTTAAGAAAAAAAAATACTTAAAATGTTTTAAAACAGCGTAAATAATAATAAATACTTTTAAATGTGTATATATAGTTTTATTTTATATACCGGATTTAACAACTTTCCTATAAAAATAATAACGCTTATTCAACTAACCGTGCCCGCGACTTCGTCAGCGTGGACAGTTGGCACCATATTATTAGAGGTTGCAAACAACCTCCTCAGTTTTACTTTACCCATCGTTCATTATAATATTAGTATGATAGCATAGACTACAGATTTTTAGACACAGAACCATATTTACGTGCGTAGTTTTCTTGTGAAACACATTGCTTTGTGTTAAACGTGAAAGATTCAAAGCCGGGGGCTTTGAATATGGGGAAACATGAAGAGCTGATGTTAGTCCAATTACACTAAAATTAATTAGTGGAGTATAATCAGCCTGATGAAGACGAGACAGGAGTTTATACGCTACAAACTGCACTGAATTTTGTAGCGTATCCTTGTCCGTCAAAAAACACAAAATTATTCAATCTTTAGCCAAACCTTTAATTGGCACGCCAAAGTGTAAAACAAGTAAATTGAATAATTCTCGAAGACCGCACAAAAGAAGCAATAACAATTGTCTCAATTGTTAAAACTGTGGGAATAACACGTTAACAGAACCATGTTTGGCTTTTAATTGTTGATATTAAGTTTCAAACACTGTGTTTTGTTTTTATTCTCTTCTAGGAAGTATTTAAGCTGATTTTCGTATTTTGGCATAAGGAACAAGGTCACTTATAATTAATATTTTGAACCTGATGTTAGCCTTACAAAAATAAGTTGCATGTATCAAGGGATAGTGTTGGATACCGTTGAGGTTGCCAATTGAAATCCCGCCCGTGTCTTAATTTTTTTTTTCAATCAATAGATATAAAATACTGTCTGTAGTTTACGCGAGTAGTACACGTTTAAATAAAACACTTCAACGGCTTAAAACGCGATACATATTAGTAAAACTTATTTGAAAATTATTCTAACTACAGCCCGACGTTTCGATTGCTTTACAGCAGCCGTGTGCATGGGGAGAACGCCTCCCGTATTTAAAATAATTTTCAAAAAGTTTTATATTAATTTAGTTTTTTAGTAAAAACGAATATACATATATCGCGTTTTAAACCGTTACAGTGTTTTATTCAAAAAAGATGTTTGTAGTGTAATACAGTGTGTGTTTTTAGGTAAGCGCCGAGGTTTGCGTTATAATAATAATATAGGTACAAACAAATATAATCTGTTTCTAATAATATTTCCCGTTGTACGCGTGATTTCATTGTTTATAATATTCATTGTTTTTGCTGCAAATCGAAAGATAGATAGGCAAGATTCCAAATGATATTTTGACAGAATTTAATTTAAGTTACTTTTTGTTTTCTTTCTTTCGAGAGAAGATTTTGTTGTGATAAGGAATGTATACAAGCCTCAGGTAAATATTGCAAGAGACAGTTTCAGATAGCAATCTTAGAAGTAGGTGAATGATTAATCAAAGTTTATCAAATTAGTTATGATGCTGATAACACACATTTCCAAAGAATCTTAAGAAAGGTGCACGTTTATAAAAAAAAAATTAATTTTTTAAAAATTATAATTAATGTAAAATGTAAAGTTACATTGAAGAAAAGTGATAATAAAAGTTAGTGAACGAGATAAAAAGAAAAATAAGACACATCGAAACTATTTAAAACGCAAAATGTCGGTTATTTTAAACTACGACCAGAAACGGCGGACAAATATTATTCGAGTTTTAAACCGTTAAAAGTGTGTAACTAAAATTGATGTTTACGCCAAAGCAAATAATTTTTATGACAAATAATTTACAGTTTAGATCCAGAGGTAGAGGTTACAAAGTGATTTATGTTTTTAACAGACGAGCTTTAAAACATTAACGTAGTGAAAATATGTTCCGAATCTAACTTCGAACACGTTATAAGCAAGATCTTAAGTTAAGAGTTGCTCTTGCGCAAAGAAACACAAAAATTCCGGAGTATTCCTTTATTTTTTAAATTAAAAACAAGATGGCGGCCCCATCTCTAATGTCGTCAATAAAGGCATTAACCCCTCGAATGAGGTTCAAATACTCGAAACCAATAATAGATAACGTAGTATTTAAGCTCCACTATAAGTTAACTGTGACGATGCTCCTGTGTTTCGTTATACTGGTTTGTGGAAGGGAGTATTTCGGAGAGCATATCAAGTGTCTGTCAGATCAGGGGGTTCCCCCTCACGTTATCCAGACTTATTGCTTCTTTATGGCTACTTTCACAATTGTGAGTATCGAAAGCTACTTGTATATATTATGTCATTCAAAAAATATATACTTTTGCAAATTTTGGTTCGTAAGTTTCGATTTAATTTTGAATAAATATTTATATATAACTCGTTTGAAAATTATTTTAAGTACGGTCCAAAGATTGCTGCTTTGCAGCAGTCAGTAGGAGGTAGTTAAAATAATTTTCAAACAAGTTTAACTAATATATATCGCGTTTTAAACCCGTTAAAATATTTTATTTAATTTGTTGTAGTTTGTTTATTCCGTATACAATAATTCACCGGGAAACTAATCTTATAGAGGATAAGGCCGCCTATTTTAATAAATTGTTTTACTGGTTTGAGTAATGTGTTTATAATTATTATTGGTTGTATGTAAGTACTACTGTACGTATTGTAACTGTGACTTATTTTATCAAGGTTCGACATTACAATGAAAGCCTTCTGCAAGGTGAACTTCTGCCTCACCCGGGAATCGGTCCCATCCTGGAGACGGACAAAACGATCCGACACACATACTACCAATGGGTTCCGTTTGTCCTCTTTATACAGTCGTTCTGCTTTTACCTGCCGCATTATATTTGGAAAAGAAAGGAAGGTAAACAAGTGTTTGAAATGTTGAAGATTTCAAATGTCCTCATTTTAATTGTTCAATATTATTTGTTAAACATGTTATTTTGTACATGACATTAAATAAATTAAAAATCTATTTCGATTGAAAAAAACGACACAGCTTTAATCAATTACATGTATTATTTGACATGGTAACTCTATTGGAGCAGTAGCACGGCTCAGTCTCGCCCGGGTTGTAATTTCTTCCAATCTAAATACATACTGTCTGTAGTTTACGCGGGTATTAAAAATTTAAATAAAATACTTTAACGGTTCAAAACGCGATATATTTTAGTTGTTGAAAAACTTGTTTGAAAAATATTTTTAACTACGGCCTGTGACCACGACTGCTGCAAAGCATCCAAAACGTTTAAAACCGTTTTATTAAAATCTAAATAGATTTTTTTTATATAATATCATTATGAGCAAATTTTATTAACAAAGTAAAATTTGATTGTTGTGTGTTTGGCACTCATACACTTTTTGGATTACACTGTAATATAATATAATACTTCTTACTATTACGTTGCGCGTTGCCTCGGAATTAATTGAGGAGAAGTAGTTCGAATTCCGTGTAAAAATAGCAGATTGATTTATGAGGCAGGGCACAGAACAATGTACCGGGTACAGAAATGTGGCCGCCGGTTGCCCTACGTAGGGAAAATGTGATTGCTTTTTTTAACTCGTCTAAAAATTATTAACCAGTAATAAAATAATATGTATTAAACATACCAAGGGTTTTTGCGATACGCTCAAATCTTTTAAAGATGTGCCTCCTTTTCCCCCTTTTCAGGGGGTAGAATAAAAGCGTTGGTCGAAGGTCTTCAGCACGCGAGTCTAGCGTTGCATGAAAATGATTTACTAGCTGGGAAAATTGCTGTACCTTCCAAGAAGACCTTGCAAAGCCGAATCGAAACTATCAAAAAGGACATATTGCTCAGGTACAAAATATTGTATGTATGTATATTAAACATGTTGCTTATTGCGTTAAACATAATGGGTCCTCGGTTCGAATACAGGGGAAGTCATAAATTATTTCTGTCAGACGGGACACCGAGGGCAGATAAACGTGAAACTGAATAGTTAAACAGACACAAAGTTGTGTCCGTCCCATGACGTGAAGAGAGAGGATTGCACTTTTTATTACTTCCTGTCTATCCGTCGCGGTTTTATCAGACAATTCCAATTGTTAGTCTAAGTTGTTCTGTCAGTGAATTACGTCAAAATATTATATTTATAGAAAGGGAGTTTTCTCAGAGAGCCACATGCTTTAGTCTCATTTAATTGTTAAACAGACAATTTCAACTTTATGTTTTTCCTGTACCAAGCTTTTACATTTCTTTAGGCTGCGTACGTGACGCAACGAACGAATCGAAACATACATTTGAAAAATGTCCGCCCATGCCATCGATTTTTTTTATAAATCTTTTTACGTGTCTAAGATTATGTGGCTAGGTATTTCACCTTCCATCAAGTGAACCTTGTCTCGTCTGTCCTCCTCTAACATAAAGAATACACATTATTACAGATGTGTAATAATAATATATAAGGCCGCTAGAGGCAGAGAAGCGTAACTTAAATTTTATGACTATTTTCATAGCCTAAAAATGTTAATCTACAAGAGCACAGTGACCGAAAATTGTTAACATAATTTTTACACAAATAATAGTACAAATTAATTTCTGCCTAAGTTAATTGCGCATTTTTATTTTTCTCCTTATTGAAAATCATGTTTTTTTGTTATTAGGCCACTCTTCCTTTAGCAGCCTCATATAACTTTAGTTCTTTCATATATTTTCTTCCAGGTTACGAATAACAAGATCCTGGTCACACTTCCTGGTGACTATGGAGGTTGTCAATCTTCTGCATGTAATTTTTCAAGTGTGGCTAAGTAACAAGTTCTTGAACGGCAGCTTTTTGGGTTTGGGTTTCAATGTACTAACCTTCAACGGTTGGGGTCATATTTCTAATCCTTTAGAAATTGTATTTCCTAAGGTAAATAGATATATTTTTTAAGGTAAAAACTACTCGATTCCTAAAAGGTGTTTCGACAGGAAACGCAGCAGTTTTTTTTTATTTACTCGTTTCCTAATACATAACAAATAATTTAATATTCGCGGTTTATTTTTATTAATAAATCTGAGTTTATTAAATACTTTAACAGTTTAAAGATATTAGTTAAACTTATTATAAGTTGTTTCAACTACGGCGCGACGTTTCGGACGCTTTCGGTGGTTCAAATAAGTTTAACCAATATATGTATATCGCGTTTTAAACCGTTGTAGTGTTTTATTTAAATGTGTACCACTCGCGCAAACTACATACAGTATTTAATTCTGACTATTTTAGCGTAAAAATTAATGTCATTTTTTTGCTTTAAAACTGTCTGAAATCGTCAGGTGACAAAATGCGTCTTTCACAAGTACGGTCCAAGCGGGTCCATCCAGCAACATGATGCTCTATGCGTGATGGCTCTTAACATTATTCATGAGAAGATATATGTCATATTGTGGTTCTGGTTCCTGTTTCTCTTTATGGCTTCTTTTATTGGTAAGGGTATACCGTAAACAATTATATATAAATATACTTATTAAGGTTTATAAAATGAAAACACATAATTGAAAAAAAATACGACTCGGGCAGGACCTAAACCGGCATCCTTAGCGTCCCGTGCTGTTGCTCTAACCAATTAAGCTACCGAGTTCTACACGTCATCGTCGAGTTTTTTCAACGTATTGATACATGCACCTCTCGCGTAATGTTATTTCAACCTTTACACTTGCGTATTACATAAATGAGTTACATAGATGTGTAAGACACCTATTAATATAAGATTTGGTAGTAAATAAATATTAAATCCTCTTTATTAACTCAAATGGTTTAATCGATCAATAATATTTAAGCTTTATATTATTTTCTAAGAAATATATTGATAAATATACTTAATAAATACTCGTAATATAAACATATACTGAAACATATTTTTTTTTATTTCAGCTGTTGTGTGGCGTTTTATTTCATTCTACATGTATCGTCGCTCCTTGAGGTTTAACGAGTTGGTCTTTCGCCATGTCTCCAAAACAAAGTTTAATCCATACAACGTCGTCAATATTGTGAACGGCTGTGATTTCGGCGATTGGTTGTTTTTATATTATCTAGCGAAGAACATGCAGTCTGCTACATTTCAGTAAGAAATAATCGTATCTATGAGATTTTAAAGCGTAAATTGTACATGATAATGCTTTTCTTAAGTTCTTGAGTTCTAAATTGTTCATATGTGAAATATAAAAGAATTTAATAAATAAGATGGTAAAACGCCATTTACATTAGCAAAAAAGGAAAAACAGTTGCGATCAGGGTATTTCCTGAATCTTGTTATTGTAAGATACATAACTCGAGGATCAAAAGTTTATCTGCCGTCTTATCATGACAAATATCTATATTTTGCATCTTATTAAGTGGATTGCGGAGTTAAGCTAAGAAGAAAATGTATTAGCAAACTTACTTATAAATTATTTTTTTCCATAGTGAGCTATATAGAAGTGTCGCCGAGGAACTGGAAAAGCAAAATAAAGCATTCAGACAAAATGAAAAACGGAAACGAACAGAATGTAGATTAGAAAGAGTTCAATACGATGATGAAACTTTACCGCTCAGTGAAAAAAAATCACAGCTCGGAGAAGTAATATAAGTAAAAGAAATATTATTAATTAAGTCAAGTACATAATAATACAAAAGGAATTTGTTTTTTTTTTGCATTTAATTATTTACAACTGTATGTAAATAATGTTTAGTTTACAGTTTATTTGTGTAGAACGGAACGTACTTTATTTACAATAGCAATACTAAACAAAATGGTGGACGTTTACGCGCGCATCATAATGAATGAAACACTCGTTTAAATTTTTTGTCTCTTTCTTACTTACACCGCTGTTGTTAAGCTGTTTCTCTCACAAGCGACGCATAGACTACACTCAGAATAGACACTTCTCATGTTTGACAGCTGTCTGCGATGAGCTCTAGATTTTTTAGTCTGCAATAAAACAAAATAAATTGTAAAGTGCGCGGATCGGCCGTCTATTTGGATTTTTAATTTACTTCTCGAATTATTGTGTTTCGTTCAATACTTTTGATGTATTTTACGTAAAAACTGCAGTTTTATCAATAAAAGACTAGCAGAGCCGCTAAGAAAGTAATTTTGTGTAATGAATCTCGAATTTAAATACGTCGTACGGAGTAGGAAGTAAACATTAGGTGTTATTTCCACGGAAAAACAATCGCAATATCGACATAATTTGGTAAGTAATACACTATATTTCTGTGAACAAATATCTTTTAGATATCTATTTGGCTTTAGCTATAGAAATAAAATAATCCACTGGGCCACTAATTACAAATTAATTATATTTCTTGAATGCTATTTTGATTATGACTTATTTGCATAATTATGATTATTGTCATTAAGGCTGCGATTTATCTAACGAAGTTGTTGTAACAACTTTGAGTTTCGAATTTCTTTATTAATGACAGTTCTAAATATCTAATGTAGTAGTAAAATAAATTAATTTAAAACTTAAGATTAGTACTAATTGCTCATATTGAATTTAAAAAAAATACCTTTCTCTAGCAAAGTGAGTTTCTACTGTTTATTTAATGTAAATGCAAAAAAATATTGTTATAATCAAAGTCCTATATAAATGAAATACACTTTTGATGTTTAAATACATTAGTTTCATTCTAGTGTAAATTCTTATTGATGCTATCTCGGTTGTAATCATTTTGAAATGTCTTGTATATATTAAAAATCTTGCCGTAGCCCCACTAGAACCCGATGTGATATATAAATTACCAGTTCAAATTAATGTAGATCATCCCAAGAAAAACGAGGTTTTTATTGTGTGAGTTAAGTTTTTTATATGGGCTAAATTTTTATTCTGTCTTCTAACAAATATTTTATCCGTAGCAGTTCAGATTTGGCTAGATTTTTGTAAAACTTGACATTGTAGATGTTTTTTCACAAATATGACTTTAAAAAATACACATTTCAAATGCAAGCACAAAATTGAAATTTGAGCTTTTAAAGAAAGTAAAAAGTCTCAGCATTAGTTTATTTTTTAATATGTAATTATTAAAAAAATAAAACAAAGCTATTAATTAGTATTTTAGTAAGCAACTATTAAAGAAATTAAATTTTTAGTTAAAATTCTCTACTGCAGTTTTACTTTTTATATAAAATATGACATTTTTCAACCAAATATCAGTTCTAGATGATAATAGTGAGGTGGTTTGACATCTAACTAATCTTAGTAGTCTGAGCCGCTGTAGAACTTATTTAGGATGTTCATATATCTTTAAATGAAACTTTAAAAGGGATATTCTCTTTATAGAAGTATAATAGAAAAAAGTTACTATGATATTGTGGTGGAGATGGGATTTTGTTCATTAAAATTAAGTATGTTTAATTTTTAATAGGCAAGAAACTACAAAGGCGATACAGGGAAGACATAGGCTTTCTTGGATATTTAACCTGTAAATAAAACTACAAATCAATTTGAAGACAGTTATTTAAAATACTTTGACTTAAAATTGGAGTAGTAGAACCAAGTTCTAGAGCTTATTACGCACGTGCGTCTCATATAAAAGGTCTCTGACCGAAAGTTATTCCGTAGTGGTGGTCCCACTGCCGGCATGTAATTTCGTTCGTCCTGCCCGCTTTAATCACTACTAATGGTAGATAGGGCGTACTTGATTTATTACACAAAGACCACTCTTTAAAGATCTTTTAAAGATCATTTGCGTCGTTACGACTAAAGATGATGGAAGGTCAAAGTAACTGGTGATAAGGAAATTAGCTTGTGGTTAAGACGTATAATCTCACACTTAGGTCTAAATCGATATTTTTTATGTTAAAAAATGATCCAGGTCACATATTTGTTAGGGATAACTAAGTTTAAAGACTTGCAAAAAAATAAGCTTCAATCAATCAATAAATTCTTCATGCAATCAATGTCACAAAACTGTGAAATAATTACTTAAAATATTGACAAGTTACAATACACCCTTTTTTAATATAGAGAAGGACAGACAAACACGAGGTTCAATTGATGGTAGTGGAAATACCCCAGCCGTATAGCATCTCAACAAGATGTGCTGTGGACGTATTTTGGCTTAGAATATCCAGAAATCCACAGTCTGTAACCGAAACGCGATTGAGCTTCACAGCTTTTTCTAATTTGGACGGTGGTTCGTGCCCCGGACGGATTTTTCGTTTTCATTTAATATCCAGACAAAGTCCAACATGTTTCAGAGAAATTGTAAATTAATTAGAAGAATGTTGGACCTGGTGGGAATCGAATGCACGACCCGGTGATTATTAGCCATACATTGCTACTATTACAACATTTTATCATTATATTTTAGTTTTAAAGCGTTGTGGTTGTATTTCGCAAAAATCTGTTTACACAAGTAAAATAAATAATATTAGTATAAAACGTAATTTATTTCAAGTCAACCAACTGTAGGATTTTCTCGGAAGTGGAAACTCAATCCCCAAGATCAAAAGGGTTTCCTAACAGAAATTCGATAGTGCAGGCATTGCGTTGATTGCCTTGGCCTAAAGGACACCTAATGTGTGTCAGCTGTGCTATTATATTGCAATGTTTGTTGCCGCGTCCTTACGCGACATTAGATCTGTCATGCCGACAAAGTTAATTATCTTATCTTAATCTAAATACTGTCACGAGCAGCCGTGTTTCCCCGTGACCACGGTTGCTGCAAAGCATCCGAAACGTCGGGCCGAAGTTAAAAATTATTTTCAAATAAGTTTAACTAATATATCGCGTTTTAAACCGTTAGTGTTTTATTTAAATTATCTTTTGTGCGGTAATTAACATTCTTATTTAGATGCAAAGTTATGTATTATAGCTTAAATAATGTTATGACAATCCATGGGGGATTGTACGTAATTACCCATCCATATTAGTTTTTCTACAGCTTACCTGTTACAACCTGGTGTAGTAGAGTTACCTCGCTATTAAACATATCTTTTTATGAGCTCCTTGGATCAGTGGTGGCATCAATACTTAACAGGTGGGTCGATTCTTACCGGTACAAAACAGCTAATCTTGCCGTGCCATGATATTTCCTTGCAGAGATTTAGTAAAATACTTAGCTTATTTGTCGATTGGTTAGCGCGAAATAATATGTAATTCATTGCCTTTTTATGTGTGTTATTATTCAACGAACGCTACCATTAACACAATGCACTAATTGCACTGTAAGGTTTCATTTCGTATTCTAGGTATTTCGGTTTGAGCTTGAAATATGACGCCGCTGCGGCCCACTCGCCTTGACCCGAAGCAAAAAGTTCAATTTGCATTTTGCAATATGTGTACGACTTTTAAATAAAACACTTTAACGGTTTAAAACGCGATATATATTAGTTAAACTTATTTGAAATTTGTTTCGGATGCTTTGCAGCAGCCGTGGTGCAAAGCATCCGCAGTATCGGGCCGTAGTTAAAATAATTTTGAAATAAGTTTTACTAATATATATCGCTTTTTTTCGCGTTAAAGCGTTTTAACCTGTCTGTAGTTCACGCGAGTAGTACAAATTTAAAGAATACACTTTTAACGGTTTAAAACGCGATCGATAATAGTTAAACTTAACTAAACATCGGGCCGTAGTTAAAATATTTGTATATAAGTTAAATAAATATACTTTTTAAACCGTTAAAAGTGTTTTATTGAAAAGTATTTAATCACGAAATAATTAAACATACAGTGCTACTTACTAAATGCAAACTTTAAACTCTAGTAGGTCACGTTACCGCTACACAGTCAAGACAAGATTTCGTTTTAATACTAGTTGCTTGGCAACTTTTTAATATACTTCGACTCCCGAAATGGCTTACTGGTTAACTGTTTGCACTGTGTAGCTGCTAAAGTTATAAACTATATAAGACGAAATTATATAAAAATATTATAGAACTTAAGTTAATAGAACCAGTTATAAATACTTAAAATGGTAGAACGATTATTATAATGAAAGTTTTTTTTTATTATTTATCCTACAATTCTATACGTATAAGCGATAAATGTAGAGACAAACACGTCCGTTTAATTATAAGCTTTTACCTGCAATGCCTATGTAGTTAAAATATGAAAAATTATATGACACAAGTTCCTTTCATCTTCAAAACATCTTCTACTCAAAAACATAGGCTAGGTGACTAAGTTTGTTATGTGTAGTAAATAATTATGTTTAGTCAGATGGTCATAGTTTAGTCTTTCCTTCCCACTACTGGGCATTACCTCCTCTTTTATGAGAGCGTCCGAGCTTAGACTCACTCCACGCTGAAGTCTGTGTGGATTGGTAGACTTTAAGGTCCTTCTTGTAAGTTGGTTGATGATAAAAATCTGGACCGACTGCTTAACATGTTTCAATTTAATGTAATGACACTGCAACGGTCGACGCGGGATTCGAACCTGGCACCTCGTAGTATGCGGTCAAGTTCACAAACCTTTAGTTGTATAAAGCTGACCTATTAAAGGCCTTAAAAAAATTCCAGCTTAAATACTGTGTGTAGTTTACGCGAGTAGTACACATAAAAAAATACTTTAACGGTTTAAAACATGATATATATTAGTTTCAATATATACATAATTTTTAACTACGCCAGGAGAGATTACA